CCAAATGGGATTGAATCCGTTCTCATTGACTTTGCTGCGGTATTTGACGCCGCTGTCAAAGCTGGCGCCAACGATTTCCACAACAATTTGCGGATTATTCGATTTGCCACCACGGAATAGATGACGAGCTGCAATGATGCGTACGCTAACCTTCGTTTCGATGAGACCGTCAGACAAGGGATTGTTGGGATTGAAATTCTCGGACTTCATAAACGCTGGCTTCAGTATGTAGCCACATTGGCCATTATTTCGAAATTTGGCCTGATTGAGCTGCATGGCCTTGTCGCCAGTTTGATAATTCAGTGCAATCATTTGGGAGCCAATGTTCCAAAAGGGCACCGGATTAAAGTTGGATGAGTCCAAGCGTTGCCCTTTTGGGTATACACGACTAATTTGATTGCGATGATACGACAGGAAAAGCGGCATATTTTGTTGTATAAACTGCTTTTCGGCCTTTGTTTCGGGAAAGCTGGACATTTCTTGGAATATCCAAGAGTGATCCCGGAACGGTACACTGCGAAAATAGATAATCAAATCGGACATCTCCTTGGCTACGCGTGCAGTGCGCTCCTTTTTACGTCGTTCTGTGGCCAATTGACTAGCAATTAGTGCTGCGTCCTGTATGGATTTGATCCACTCGTAAGCCGTCTCCTGGTTGTCAAATCCAATTATAAATGGATTTTGCATCGTTGGCGTTTGGATCTGCAGCTTTATTATGATTCCAGGCTCGTTTGACTCGAAAAGAGACGCCACTGCGCCATAGATCTCAATTGAATCGGTGCGCCCATCGTTGCCCTCCTCATTGACCGAATTGTAATCCTCAGTTGCGGAATCAATGACCTTTAAAAAATAGAAAAGAGAAGGTTTGTTTATTGTATCAAGAGTTCAGAATATGGACTCTGTATTGAAAATATATTATAAAAAAAAATAATTGGTTACCTTGACATAGTTAGCCGGCAGATGTTGTTGTATCATGCCACCGTAATCACCTTTCCACCACATGGAGTTGTTCCTCTGCACATTCGTTATGATCGCGTGCTTTGGAAAAGAGAGCTCGTCTGGCTTGTCGGCCTTATAACTATATAGGGCCTTGCATGTGACATAGTCCTCCAGATTGGAGCCCATATAATTGGAGGCACCAGAACTATCGTTATTGCTATGCTCACCGTGCAATTGGGCATTCTCTATAAGGCTCTGTCGCAGGAGCTCCTGGGACACCGGATGGACGAGTTTTACGTTCCGATATAACGGATTCCTCATATAATAGTGTATTAGCGACACTAAGGACTCAAACTGCATCGTGTCAATGGCATACAGGCGACCCTCCTGCATTATCCGACAGTGTTTGATTTTGCGATTAATCGTGAAGGATATGACAAACGCATTGACGCTTTGCACCGATGGCCGCACCAGAAACGATCCAATGTCCAGCTTTAACAGACCCTGCTCGGCCTGCTCCTTTGTGGTATTTGGATGAAACCAATCCTGACTCTCGTGCTTCTTTGGTTGTGGTACTGGCTCCTTGAGGATAATGGAAAACTCTGAGCTACGCAGCATATTCTTGCGGTAGTACACAATTAACGAGTACAACGAATCAAATACAAAGTTCTCAACCAGATAATACTTAATCGAGCCATTCTCGTGTTTCAGCTTAATACGACAATGATTGGGCCGATTGCGCCGCCAGAAGGACAAGCTATAATCCCCCACAAACGTGGCCGACTCGCGCACCAAGAATGTGCCATCGCCAAGATGCTTGTAGGTTTCCAACAATTGATCCGCCTCTTGTCTTCCACCTAATATAAATTCCGCATCAGACACATAAAGAAGCAAAAAGAGATAATAATGTAGGAAGAAAACCTTTTGGAATCATGTAATGTTATAATAATATCAAATTTGAATGTAGTTCGATGCGGATAAGCTTTTAACTTGGGAGCATATTTATACCCGGAACATATGTGTAAAAGGGACAAATTGTTTTCGTGGAAATGAATAAGCACACGGAAGGTCACATTCTCGGCCCCCCGAATTGTTTATGTGTAAGTATATTTAGAAAGAAGCTAGATTATTTAATGTAAAGCTGGTTAGCGGTTGATTTGGTTGAGATCATATTCAACTAAAAAGAAGTTCACGGAAGAAATGAAAACGATGTCATCAAATGCTGCTCTGATACGGCATGGCCTAACAAGTTTAAAAGCGCTAGCTACAAAACTGTTCGGAGTCCGGAGATTTGATAGATTAAATAATTGAAACATCGAAACACTTACCCTCTAACTTGCCGTGAAACCAATTTTCACCAAAATGCAGCTCATCATTGGCCGATGTATCCTTCTGCTTTTGCTGCATATTGCTATTTAGCGTACAGGACGACAGTCCGAAATCATCATCTTCTGAATTGCCGTTGCGGCTTTCGCTGATTTCTGATGTGTAGATAAGCTCCTGTTGGGTGAGCACAAACTGATAGAGGTTCCACGACTTATCGACTGGGTCCTTAAAGTACAGCAAGCCTTTCTTTAAGATTTTCTGCAAATTGTCGCTATCATCCGTCGCACTACCCAGGGAAGACCGGTGACTAAATGAAGCGATCGTTCCATTATTAACACCAACCGCAGGTAAATTAATTGCACTAACATTTTCATCAAATTGCGGCAACTTTTTGTGCTTTAGAATTATCTTGCGACGCAGCTGATTGGGCGACGGCAAATGCAGTTCATTTCGATCGCAGGGTTGTGTGAGCAGCATATCTCCAAAGACCTGGAACAGAAGATATAAATATATCATTTACGATTCGAATATGAATATCTGATAAGCCCACCTCAATCAGCGCATGTGCCATATTTCGCTGTTGCTCCAAGGAGCAGTTCTGTTCGATGGATAGAATTACTGGATACTCGGACGTAGTGAACGCATGATCTTTAATGGTCTTGATGACGTCCATAAACTTAATCTTTGAGGTCATGGTGTGACCATGGAATATGTACGGCAAATTGTCAGGGCCATTCCAGCAGTCTAGCTCGATGCAGCGACACCCCATGCGCAGGGCACGTGCATAGGCCTCGCAAGAGGATTCGCTTGAGAACTGGTCACCCGTTAGATATGTGTTGTGGGATGAGGCTATCCAGTAGGAGGACAACGGCTGGTTCATGTCCATGAAGACGGCATCGAATCTTGTGTCCCACAGATCATTTTGCTTGGAAAAGAGATAATCGACAAACTCGGAGATGGTTAAATATGGCTCCTGCACATCGCGTTCAACGTCCTGCACAAAGTCGCGCATAAAACTAGATATGCTATTCAGTTCCAAGGCATTCAAATCGTGCTGTTCAGTTTCCAGGAAACGTTTAAAGTCAATGGGCCTCACTATTTTTTTGTCCTCCGAGTAAGCGAACTCTGTACTACCAAGGACATTCACGAAATTAACGGGCAACAAGAGTTTCTGATACAGACGCGAGAAATCGTCGAATTTCAGATCATGCTTGCGTTTTATATCGTCTGTAAAGCACTCCATAAATTTACTGGTGCTCATTTTGCAGCTAACGTTGCCCAAGAATGTTTTGAAATCCTTGATGGTCACTTGGGAGCTCTGGTCGGATTTGGTCAGGTGCGAGTTAACATTCTCGAATGAATAATATTCACGCCGCAGCCAGCGATCGATTTGCAGTGGATACGGTGAGTGAATGGTGTCCTTAACCATATACCTTAATCCCCGTACCCAGTTATCGGCTTCGATCTCCGAGAGCGCGACCACAGAGAAGCTCTTCAGCTTGAAACTGTTGCCGTACATAATGACAAAACATTTGCTGCTCTCAAAACGCTGGCAGTCATCGGCATGGAGTCGGAACTCCTTTGAGTTCTTGCCCACGCGAATCTCGCGTATCTCCCGCAACTGGATTGTTCCCTCGTATTCGGTGCGTGTGTGTGCAGCGACAGTGGACCATAACAGCTGACGGGTTTCTCTGATAAGCATGAGGTGTCGCCGATCGGGGCGTCGTTGTTTTCCATATAGTTTCGTTACAATTGTTCCGCGTTCTAGCATGCAAATTGTCTGCTCCATTTCCCCCAGTAGGGGTGTATTCATTGCACTAAAGCAACTCATCGTTTTTTAATTATTTATTTATATTTTTAATTATTACAAAATTATGAAAACATGCATAAGTCGGAATCTCTTGTACAATATGTTGTATGTATGTATGTTAATGTATTTTTGCGTTGGCTCTATAAGGTTTGAAGAGCATTGAACGTATTGTGCTATGATTCATTGACGTTTTATTAATTCGATTTGGCAGGTAATTAGTTAATGGAAATTTATTTTGTTATTGATTACAATTGCACTTGTTGAATGTTGGACTCTTTAAAAGAATTATTGCTTGTGCAGGAAAACTATCGATAATACCGTTATCGACGTTAGTAACGTAAGCAACTTAGCATGCAGGTGCATTACGTTTACATTGCGTGCAGATAACAGTAACATATTTTGCCTTTTAGCCTTTTTTTCAAAAGTGTTGGCCGGAATATACTTTGGTGATATTTTGTATATTTATTTTTGTATTCCATATTACTGATTTCTTTTTTATTCCTGAAAAATTATTATTATGTTTTGTTTTGGCTTGAAGTGGTTCGCAATTTTTAAATTAAGTTGCAAATATCTGTGCAGACTGAACGTTACATTGGATGCCAATGTGTCCATTTGGTAACGTTTTAATGAAAGTGTGTATTAATTCATAGATACAGAAAATTATGAAGAATTTTTAAATTCCAACGAAAAATAGAAAAAATATTATCATAATAAAATGTATGTTCCGTTTGCAATTCATTAAATCTAGTTTGGCTTTTTCGTGTTGATCAGTCGTCTTTAGAAATCGATAGTTGACAGCACTGATGAGTGAGAAAAAAAAGAGCAGAGAGTTAACAGAACTGTTAAAGCAACGTTTTCTATATTTAACATAGCTGTGTAATGCTGGTACACAGTGCTCTCTCAATGTTACTCATTAATAGTACATTCAAGCATAACAGGGGGCTGACATAAAAACTACTTTACGCTCCAAAAGATGAAAAAGTGAAAATCCATAGGCATTTTTAAATAAAAAATAAGTGACACGAGCGCGCGCGGGGCCATACACTCGTCGCTAGCAGCGTGGCGTACAAATTATGCTAAAAAGCATCAACGCTGCCTTCAAATATGCAGAAAATAAATCCAACAACGCCAGCGCCAGCAGGAACATCGCTAGCGACAACAGCACTAGATAGCGTCGCGACAATTTCAAGTGCGACGCCACCTTCAGCATCCGGATCCAATGCAAGGAGCAAGAGCAGCGAACGTGGCAACTCCAGTGGTCCAGCGGTGAGTTTAAGTGTGTGTTGTGTGTAGAGAAGGTCCACCTGCTAGCGCGCGCGCGTGTGTGTGTGTGTGTGCGCGAATGTGTGCCATGCTATTAGTTTTTTCCAATTGCAGGTCGCAGGCTTGGCTTTAATTTTTCTTTCGACAATCAATTTCGGCCTTAGCCATTATATAACTCAATGACAGCGCACGCTTATTGACCTTACCCTGCACCCCGCTTACACCCACGCACTACGCTACCCCCACCGCAGACGTCACGAGCTGGGCAATTGTTATTGCTAGCCCAGTTCTGTTTTGTTCATTTTGTTTTCGCTATTGTAATTTTCCGCCGTCAGGTTGTTCAGTAAACGTGCTAACACCCCCGCCGCCAGACCCTACGCGCCCGCCCGTTCGCGTTAAACGCAGCTGCGCATGCCACCCACTTGGGCACACATTGACCTCCTTCCGCCCCGCTTCACGTGCGTGTTGCGTCTTCCTGCTTTTCTTTGTTTTGTACATAAAAACCTTATGACTCTGTGCGGCATTTGTCAATATCCATGTTGTTTACCATTTGCTTTTAACTATTTTGCATTAACCTGCTGCTTCTTCATCTGCTGCATCATGTTTTTCGCTAACCATCTGTGTAGCAAAATGTCCTTGTGTGCGTTTTGCGCCCATTGCATGCTGCTCGCCGTGTGTGCGTCACCTCGCCCTCAGCCGCTCATGCAGCCCCCTTTGCCCTCTCACTAGGACTTAGCGCTTGTCTGTTTGCTATCGGTTGTTAATGGCTCCTTATTTTATTTTTATTATTATTATTATTATTACAATAAGTTACAATTAAGTTTTTGTTGCTGTTCTGATTCAATCGAAAATCGAAAACATTCAATTTCATTTCTCACGCCTCGAATACTTTTGCTTCGTGCTAAATAATTTGGTCAGAGCCTGAGGCAATGCCAGTTCCGTGCTGATTACGTCAGGGCTATCTTACGTTTCACACACACACACACTGACACAGGCACACACAGGTCTTGGCTCATGGTTGACTATTTTTGGCATTAATCCTTTTTGGAGGAGCGCGTGCTGCGGCTCTCAAGGCTGATAAAATGCCATTAGACAGTTTTTGTCCTTTTGCTGTCGTTCTAATTATAGTTATCCACTTGCATTTTATTCAATTAAGTCGATTAAAAGCTTAATTGAATAATTGAATTCCCAAAATATACGACTTATAAAACACAATGCAAACTTGAAAGTTGTATATTGTTTTCTTAAAGCTTTAATTAATTACATACATTAGTTAGCACTTTTTTATTGGATTCAAGAGTTCTTACACTTAATATAAGACCAAATAGGGCTGATCTGAAATTAAGTATAAATAATACTTATTTCACGTATAAGAGTGCTCTGGGATCAAAACATCATGATGATGGGATCATATATGAAGAATGTTGTATTTAGCATTTTTGCCTTCTGTGTTTTATTACTAAAACAGTTTCATTCCATTTCACTTGAATTAAATTTAATCATTTTTCAAGATTATAATAAATGATTTGTCCTCAAGTTTGTCGTTAGTTTGTTTTTTTTTTTGCTTTCGATCTTTATCTAAGTTTTTATCAAAAGCCTTTTCCTCATCTGTAATTAAAATTGAGTTCAGTTTTTAATTAAGTTCTTAATTTTGTTTAATAACCTATAAAAAAAAACTAAGCGACAACATTCGCTATGTGTCTGTTTTTCGTTTGCCTGTTTGAATATGATATTTTTTGCGAAACCTGCAAAATATATATGATAATTTTTGCATATTTAGACTATACTTGTATAAAGATTTTTCCAAACTCTCATGGCATTACATTCTCCAAAAATACATTTTTGTTTAAACAATTGCAACTATTTTGCTGTAATGTATACATACACGTATGTATATGTAAATATTTATATTATCCACAATGTACGCGTACAGATACTACGAGCTATTTAAAAATATATTGTTTTTAGCTTGTATCGTTCTCCTTACTTTTGTAAATAAATTTCCCTTCGTTGGGCGGACGCTTTTCAGCCCGGAAGCGGGCACTTAATTAGAGCTCATAAACATCTTTTCCATAGGAAAAAAAGAAACGAAAATTTGGTTTCAAAATAAAATGGCAAGATACATTAAAACAATCGACTATTCACTTTTTTTTCAGGCAAATAAGAATAGTATTCAGGGATTTAATTTTACTTATCATTAAATTAAGAAAAAGCGGTTATATTCGGAAGAAGCCGAAGATTTAATACTCTTGTAAACATATGGCTTACGTCTTTGCATACATGTGAGAAGGAAAGTGAAGTTCGTAACGCAGAATGCATTTTTGGACAAATTTTTCCTAATTTTTTTTTCTCAAATGTTAGGAGCATAGTAAAACTACTAAAGTTATATTTAAAAACAAAATTAAAAAACAAATTGCTAGGACAGATATATGATATAGAGGTACAGATCGGCCGATTCCGACTGGCCTATGATATATAAACGGACGTATGCAAAGTTTCATGTATATACTGATCGAGAATATATACTTTACGAAGTTGAGAATGTCTTCTTCTATACGTTATATTGCTATTGCTGTTTGTGGAACTTACTGACTTAATCATGAGCAGACATTTTCAAAGCTTTATAATTTCTAAAAACACTTATTAAAGCACTTAAATTTATATTTCAATTTTCATTTAATTATATTTAAACGTGCATCAAAAAAGAAAATCGTTTAATATTTATTTATGATTTTCATATAAACATATATTTATTTTTCTTTTATTATTTTATTATAGAGCTTTTTGTTGTTGTGCACCTAACCACAAACTCATCATGAAAATGTTTTCCAGGGTTTTAGCTAGGTAAGCGCCAATTCGTCAAAGAGTGTTTACCTCATATTTCAAATCCCTGAATATCTTATGTATCTCTTCTAAAACTTCGCTTGATTCTCGCTTTCACAGTACGCCGCCTCAAAGCAACAACAACAGCAACCACAACAGCAACAGGAAGAAACAACATCGAGCTGCAAGCAGCAGGAACTGCAGCATGAGCAACCGATTGCCATACATTATCTGGCCAGCTTTCATGAGATCTGCGTGGTTACGGCCCTGCTGCCATTAGTAACGCTCTTCACATGCTTTGTGACCGCCTACATATTCCAGTACGACGATGTACACGAAACACATTGCCGGGTATGTGCATCTGTAGCGTAACATATTTAAGCAATCAATTTGCTAATATTCCAAATTTGTATTTGTGCAGGTTTACAACATAATACCCTCGATAAGTGCAATTACTGGCGTTAGTCCGCAGCGTTATTTCTGGCGCGCCAGCATTGCGCTGCACATCGGGCCGCGCATACCCATTGCCTTTGTCTACAAGAACTATTATCGCGCCCAATTGGCGCGGCTTGCCCCGTCTCTGGTGCCAAAGACAAGCTGGCTTATCTCATTAATTTTGGTGCTAAACTGCATTGAGATTGCGGCGTTGGGTGGAGTGACCTATATATCGAATCGCGAGAATTATCGTAAGCTAAACAAAATTTTTTTCAGCCAGTTTAACTCACTGTTAACCTATTAATGACCACTATTGAATTTACAGCCGTTCATGAGAGGATCTTTATTACATTTATGGTTTGCTCGCTGTGCTACATGCTGGCTACCATTCATCTAAATGATATATTGAATGCACGCAAAACTCTAAGCGCACAACAAATTCAGTCCATCAAATGGAAGAAAATACTCTTTGTTGTCTCCATACTGAGCACCATTGGTCTCTTGGTCTTCTTTGCCAAACACCGTTTCTATTGCCATGATTTGGGTAAGCCAATTACAAAGTTATAGCTACAAGTTGGGCACGTGAATGAGTCGCTATTAATCAGCCAATGAAATGGAACTTACACGAAACGAATATCAATTTTCCATTACCTGATTAATTTTATCGGCAATTATTAACTGTATCCCTCTCTCGCTCTGTCGCGTGAGTTCTATTCAGATTGAATTCGATTCGATATTAGTTTTGCCTTATGTTGCATCCGTAATTCTAGGTTTATTTTTTAATGTCACGCGCCCAACTCTGAGTTTTAGCTACTCTAAAAACAGTCATAATAATGTATCTTTATCTTTTACAGCATTCAGTTGGTTTGCATTCTTTGAATATTTGATTGCCATTGCCAATATGCTGTTCCATTTTACCATTATCTGGGACTTTCCATCTCAGTTCATGCTTATTGTGCAGGGACCGCGTGAGAATCTGACGCAGTATTTGGCCGCTAAGCCGAAATCCAACTAAGCCCATACTTTTTAATTTTTGTTATTTATAAATAGTACACACACATTAACACAGACACATAATCGTATTAGCATACATATATAGAATGTATTGCACCTATATAGAATGAACCCTGACGAAACGTGCAACTCAATTAAACTTCTTTTCTTGTGTCATTAATTCAAAACCAGCGCTTCCATAGCCAAATGAAATGAATATGAAAATGTAATATTATATATTGTTTCTTAAAGTTCCAATTTGTCAGTTAATTAAACCAGATTAACGATTAATACGGCATTATGTTAACTATACGTACAAAATCCAAAAGTTCCACATTTTCACCATAAGTAAATTAAACATATTGTATTAAACAGTATTGTGCGACCTAAATCAACCAAGTTATTTAAGAAATACTTTATCGAATTCCACAAAAACGTCATCCAAATAAAGCATGTGAACCTGTAGGCTGCTCATCTGTTTAACGATCTTTCATAAAAAAGTCTAAATCTGTTATTGAATAATTTTGGCATAAGTCTAATACATGCATAGGTGTGCAGCTAAGGGAGATATGTATCAACTAATTATAGATCAATTTCGTAAACACGTTATGCTGTTCATCTTTTGAACGAGTTTCATTTTATATAAATATATATTGCGTATTATATTTGTTTCAATACGTAAATTCTAAGATAGTATACGATAACGAAATATATATATAATTCTTAGTCGAAACAAGTTTGATCTATTAACATACCAAATTTGGTGTCTTTAGCTTTAATATTAAGGGGTTAACGAGCAAACGGATATGGCTTAATCGAGATGTGTATCTAAATGCTGAATAGAGTTCTTTTGCAACCCTTTGAACACAGGTATTCAACCGTTTTGCCCTAATAGATAAACTTATATTGGTCTAGATGAAATTTTTAAGTCAAAATATTCTTAATTTTTTTTTATTGTGCTCAATATTCAAGATAATGTGTACCTATGTGGTGTATATACCTGTATAACATGCCTACGTATATATGTATGTACTTGAACCTACCCAATAGTCAGTTAACTTAGGTATTTTATTCTAAATTAACTAGTAGTTTCCATATAACGCATTAATTTTGGCCGTTGCTGTTCTTTGATGATCTCATGTCAATTGTCATAGAAGGCGTAACTCATTTGTTAAGCATAGGGTTAAAAACAATATTTGGAACTACAGTCTATATATACATATACACATCTATATATATACACATGTACATCAATACATAACACGTTAGCGGTACATATCGTTTATACATTCGAAATATAAAAAGAAAAAACAAAGAGAAAACTACAAAAAAAAATTGTATTGGCGGGCCTATGGTTTATGTAGCGCTCTCCGACTCACCAGTTATAACAGGAGTATTACACACTTATTCTAAAACCAGAAAAAAATTCAGACAATAGCCATTTAAGCTGAGACCAGCAACGAACATCATTAAAGAAATTACGAAAACAAATAAAATAATATTAATAGTATAAGCCACAATTAGCTGCTACCGGATATAAATCTTGTAAACAACTAAAAAAATGTAGTAAACAAATAGAAAAAATTGAACAATTGTACTTAGGAAATTACACCAAACAAAAACAATAGCAACAACAATAACAATAAAAACAATAGCAACAACAATAACAACAAAAACAAGAGCGTACATATGTAGCTTGAACGATGAAATGAGAGATACAAAGAACTATCAAATATGATACGTCAGCTGGCAAAAAAATCTGATTTGAGAATTTTTCAAATGTTTGTGTTGTTAGCGATTGATTTGATTTTGAATTCTGTATTTGAAATAACAATATCTATATATGTAGCTAACCAAATTATTAACAATTAGGGTTATACAATGTATATTTTATAGGTGCATTTTTTTTCTTCAAATATTTAGCTGAATATTGAATCGAAAGTTCAAATTGAAAATTACGTAATAACTTTGTACTATACACAGCAAGGAATATTTTTATTGAAATTAATGTATAAATGTGAATTTTCGCCTGGAGAGGTAAAAGTGTAAGTAAGGCATTCAGAAAATAAAAAACTTGTTTATGTATTTCCTATTGATAAAGTAAGAATACAATTGTTATTATGCAACACAACAGAAACAAATAAACAAAGAAAATTTAAAAACCAACACACACAGTGTAAAGCGAATTCCATATACCTGTATCCTGTAATGTACTCTTAATTTAAAGCATGTATATTGGTAGTATTGTTGCCAACTTGCACTAACGAACATTTATATTTCTCCATGCAGCATTATTAATGTTGAAAACTTGACATAAATTGATATGTTTTCCATATTATTGTACCTTATCAACTTCTCATTCGAGTGCCTCTTATCTGTTCCAACTGCTATATAGATATGTTTTATGATATTACGAAACAAACGATAATATGTACTTGATACTTTTTAGAGTGCAACTTTTTACCTTTGCATAGCTTTTTAGACACACAACGTAAGTAATTTAAGAAACAATATATGTCAACAAAACTTGTAAAACTTTGTAGCTTCCTAATTTGAATAAAGATTAATACATATAAATATCAATTTGATTTACCTGTCTTCTGATCTATACCAGGATACAAAAGCCTCTCACTGGGCTTTTTTTTTGGTATGTCGATTGTCACAAACTATAAACTATTTAAGATTAAAAAAAATCAATTAACTTTTCTTGATTATAATCTCTTTTATAATCAACTCCCAAATAAAGACATAAATTGGAAGCACTTAAGAGATTTTTAATTTTGTATTGTTAATTATTTACAATTTCTTTTAAAATGTACAAACCCTTAAAAACATAAAAATATGCATACACCAATATAATACTTGCACATATATAAGGTAAAAGAATCTGAACAGCAACAAATGATGCATTATAAAATATTGCTAAAAGAATTCACAATTCACTCGGTATGAGTTACAATTTGTTCGAAAAGCTAAAAATATATATAGGTATTTACATATATATAAATATGTATATATATTCAAGTTTTTGTGATTTTAAGTTAAGAGTAAACTGCTTAAATAATACAGGCCGAATATATGTACAGATATTATATGCATGCTTGTATATTAAAGAGCACTACCTGGGTTTGGTTGCGCGGGTGTTTGTGTGTGTGTGTGTGTGTAGCGCGTACGATCTGGTGAGAGCGAGGAGGCTTACAAATTAAATTCAGTACGAATCAGCTACGGCCAAAGTTTGTGTATGTTAATATATGCATGTATGCTAGTGCCTAAAGCTACTCACCTAAGAATAGGTGGACATATATAAATATATATATATACGTGTGTGTTTTGTGTGATAACATTGCAAGCAATGCTTATTATTGTTTTTAGTTATTGTATATGTGCGGCGTTGCATCGCATATCTCCCTTTCTCTCTCTCTCTTTCTAATCAGGCAAATCAATGCTAATAAATGGCACCACCGGCTTCATTATATCATTCTTGGCGGATTTCTTGCTCTTCTTGTCGTGCTTGCTAAACTCGTGCAGCGGCTCTGTGACAGCCATGTTGCTTGTTGATGAGGATGCATCCAGCGGCACTGATTGACCCGCATTGCTTTGCGTTTCCGCGTGATAGCTAATGTTCCCGTACTCTTGTAGAAACGGCATGGCCGAGAGCAGAAACTGGCTAAACGATTTACGTATGCCAAACCACCACATGTTGCCGCCCTTCGCGGTAAAGCTTAAAATAATTAGAGCAAGTATAGAGACCAGCAGCGGGGCGAAGACCACAATGTACGGAAACTTAATCTCCCCATCCAGTTTGTCGCAGATAACCACCTGCATAAGATAGTAATTGAGAATAACGACAATGCAAGTTGATAAGATTGCAATTTACCTGAAAACAGAGCAGCGGCAGGACAGTGCAAATGTTACCAACCGCTGCATTTAGTGCCGCCTTCTTCTGTTGCAACGACACTTCAGGCGTGCGCATCATAATGCCACAGAATATTATATTGTAGAGGACACTGACCAAGCTCAGGCATATGACAATCCACATGGGCACAAACACCACATCCCAGTTCCAGTAAACAAACTTGTCCAATTTAAGCGGTAGCGATACAAACTGCAATGCATTAACAGCCAAAAACAGCTCTAACTCAAAAGAGCGATCATGTTTAACGGCCCACACACAGGCGCCGACACTAACAACAGAGCCGAAGATGAGCGGTATAAAGACCAGCACCCACAGATGACGCTCCGAGGTGAGCTTGTCGCAGGCCAACAACTCAAACATTAACAATATAAGATGCAGCGACAAGGAGATGAGCATCGCCTTGAACTGCGTGTAGGAGTCACCTTCAAGCCGATAGTGGGGATAACGGCACCAGACAATGGCGCCCACTATAGCGCCTAGTATAGCAGTGCATTTCCAAATCCACAACGGCGTAAAAATAGCCCAATACGGCCAATCTGTAATTCGTAATATTTAATTCCATTTTGGTTTCAAAGTGATTTACTCACCTATGTATCCATCAAGGCGCAGCGCAAATAGCGTAACAAACGTAAATAGGCTGCAGTGTACTATGAATTTACTGAAGATGACCAATGAAGATGTTTGGGATTGAGTACAAAGTGGGCAGCTACTAGTTTGGATTGCTTACCAGGGGTTAAAATCACGAAACAATGATTCCAGATTCATGTTCCCTCAGCGAGAATACAACGCTGGCAACTGCTAATCTGTGCTTGATTTCTCCTGAGATCCAAATCCTGATGCAGACGTCCGCCACTAGTTGCACATTATTGTTGCCGTTGCCCTTTGCAGCTGTCTGATGCTTTCTATCTTGCTGGCGCTCGGAGGGGAGAGTTACGAAGAATTCTTTATTGAATTTTGTTAGATGTCTTTAAATGTTTTATTTACACACTGCGATACTGTTAGAAAAAGGCATACTAAGTATTTTTGTTGTTTATCTGCCTATCAGAAAGGTATCGAACAGCGACGATTAACCCCGATGACGAGCTATCGATATGATAGAGATGAGTGATAATTTGTCAAATTGAATAGTCAAGTGTTGATAGGCGCCTGTGAAAACTGTGACAATACATACGATATTTTCATACAGTTCGTACATATGACATTTGTGCGACGTATTCGTTAAAATATCGCTTATTCCGGTTAATAATCATGAAAAAGCTTAAACGCTTTTTTAAATAAAGCAAATATCAACCAATTAATAACAAGCAAATATATTTTCAGTAATGGTTACAAGCTAGACAACTCTAAAGTGCTATATTCCTGTGTTAAGATCGAATTAAAAGCTTTCAATATAGGTAAATCTGGCTATATTATATGGAAGTTGACAATTACAAATAATATTAGTTATTGTAAAATTCAGTGTGCATTTTCAGGCAAACTTATTATGTGACTCCAACCGAATTGTGATAAGTCGCAGGGTACTGAAATATCGCTCACCTCTAGTTGATGCTCATGCCTGAGAACGAAGTGGACGAAAGCGACTGCTGCGGCAATGGATGCACCAATTGCATTCTTGACAATAAGCCCAAGCCCAGTAGACGTGCCCTGCTGGCGGGCAAGCGAAATGTCATCCTTAGCTATGCCAGATTCAAGCTGCTTAGTAATGAGGTGCACAACGGAGATGCACAAGTTCGAATGCTGCACTTTGGTTACGCAGTGGATGAGGAAGAGAATGATGATAGTATACTGGACATTCCACCGGGGCATCATGTTATGCTACGCGCTGAGCTTACTGGGCATGCTGCGCCGCTGCTGCGTCCCTACTCGCCCTACTGGACAAACTTTGTAACCAAAGAGTTCAAAATTCTGGTCAAGCTGCAACCCGGTGGACCCATGTCCGAATATTTGGCAGCACTGGTGCCGTTGCAAGTGTTAGACTTTCGCGGCCCTATTGGCAACTATGTGCATGATATGAGCGGTGCCAAATGCATATACATTATAGCGCAGGGCGTGGCCATTGCGCCCACTTTGCCGCTGGTCGCGCAGGTGCTGGACAACGAGGATGACATGAGTCGCATACGGCATCTGATATGTGCACAGAATCTGCAGCATGTTTACTTTCGCGATCGCCTGCTCGAGTTTGCCCAATACTGGAATTACCGCAGCTGCCTTTATCTAGCGCACCAACAGTGCAGCTGCGGCTCCGCTGACTGCAGCGAGCTATGTGAGCATCTACAAAAGAAACTGCGCTACAAAGAGACAGCGCGCACGATGCGCCTGGATGCTGAGCAACTGGCGTCACATGTAGTGCCCGGCAACGAGGGCGTTTCCATTGCCATTATAGCTGGCTATCCAACTTTCCAGCGGGCTATGCGCGAGCAAGCAGTGAGCGCCTTCGGCTTGTCAGATGAACATGTGTTTTTATTGTAAATTATATGTTTGATTATCCTTATAAGATGCATTTTGTAGCACCCAGCTTGGCTAGTAGCATCCAATTTTTATCTTTCCAATGTTGACGTAGTTTATTCAATTATATTCTGTTTAAAACGTATGAGATATGTCCGTCTGCTTGTCCATATGAATCAAATTTTTCGATTTCTAGAGACATATAACATGCCATATGTACCCGTGTAAAGAGTCGCCAAATTTGCACATTAGACAGATTACTACAAAGAGCTGCTGATTTGTCACCAAGAGTGGGTAGAGTCACGAACCAAATAATCAGGAAGACTCTTCAACTCATTTAATCGGCTTTTACACTGCGAACCGAGTATTGCGCAGTTTCTTGTTTTCCTATATGAATGAACAAAACGGCAAAGCTCCGAGCTTTGAAATATTGTTATCAAAACATCAAAAGTTAAATAAAAATGCTGTATTGAGAGGGATTAGAGGGATTACTTAAAGTAAACTTTTTAATATAACTATATGGCTTATTGGATTATTAAACGGGATCACAAGTTTCCCATTTTACATCCTATTCAGGCTACTATTCCGTTCTAGTTCTGGCAATGGCTACTTCAAAAACTTAAAATTCTTTGTATACAACAAATTTAAGAGACAGAAAAGAAGTTTGTAAAATTAAATGTATTTTGATATGTCTGAACTTGATTCTAACGATCTTTCAAGGTTAGATACCGTTCACATAAAAATTGTCCTAAAATTTTCCATCCTATTGAAAGGAACTAGTCACCTCTCTTGCCTGCCTGTTGCAACGAAAGTTTTTGAAAATCAGCCGGAAAGCTTCTACGCGCTTTGTATTAAATTGGGTTAGGTTATGCAGACCTCTAGACCCGCGGGGGTTCGAGCTCGCCCTCCCATTAGCCCGTTGCGGTGCCTGATGGTGTAGAAGGTGAAATGGCGTAGGGGGGACTCCACGCGCTTTGAATTTGTTGACAGGTCAACTTGCAGTCGAGAGTGCTCGACTTGAGCTTTTTATACTGACTTCTGATTGAAGGCGTTAGCTCATCGATGAAAGATAAGCCTCCATAATGAGAGTCAGCTGAGCAATGAGTGGCGGGCAGTGCGATTGATGAGCAATGGGCAGCGGTGGGGGAAGTTTCGAGCAGTTCGCGCTTATCGGTTTTGTGAGCGAGAGCTTTTGCTGAAAACCCCGCAGACTGCCATAGCAGTTGGTATCACAGCCGTCAGTAACGAGCGGTTGGCCGACGCATTGGGTGCATTGTGGAGCGAACATCAACGTCATGGAGCAGCAGCGCAATTCACCCCTGTATTCGAATTACGAGGATTTGCGTGCTTCGGAGCTACCCACTGGCTCCAACGCCCATATGGTTAACATAATGCCAGGTCAACAGCCACCGGAGCCGGAAGCCCCTCACACAAATCTCAAACGTAATCCCGTACCGGAGTATCGCGGATTCAAGACATGTGAGCACCACCAAGTAGTTTGGCAATTGGCAAATTATTTGTCAAAAGTAAACAAGATTAGATAAGCGAAATGATTTTGATGCAATTCACATAATATTTCATGTTGTAAATTCCTCGATTAGGTCCAATATCCATATTAGGCAGACTGGGAATGTATAAGATTCGATGTGCTGATAAAGATGAAGATAATGCTAGTTATCAACTCTTTCTACATGTTTTTAGAGCTACTTTTAGCTAACAATCAAACACTTAAGTACGGAAAGCTTATCTGAATAAGCTTGGGTATGGAATATCTTTAGCTTGGAACTTCATTCGATTGAAGTTAATCTTATTTGAAGTGAAGTGCAAACAAGATAATCATTTTTGTTGACTTAGTGTACGGTTCCCACGAAAGCCTCCTGAACGTGCGGTTCACTTCGGTTTTCGGTTTTAAAACTTTTTTCCTTTGAATTTTCAAAACAACAATGAATTTTATTATATTCACCAACCCAAAAGAAATTGTTTACGGTTCGGGTCAACCATGTGCCTTTGGGTTATGTTCGTGAACCTGGCTTCAGACAATTTAAGTTCAGACCTTGTCTTCTCATATATTTTCTAAGTATTAGTTTAATTGATAAAATGAATTTGAATTAATTAATTGAATTTTCTAACAACTCATCTAGTAAATATGTGTGGAATAATGCATTCTTTGGGGCCGGGCTTCCCTCAAAGATTTGTTTTATTTTGAACCAAACTCTTATTGAATAAACAATTTGTTTAGGGAACTGATTTGGTTTAGGTAAAGCTTATAGTAAAAATTCAATTGAAATTCTTGATCTTCACATATCTTTCTTCATCGCAATTTTTTACATTTTGTTAAAAGATAATAAACAAAATCGCGTTTAGGGTTCAGTTTAAGGAAAATAGAACAGTTCAGGCCTGGTTTGCAGAGTATCATCTAGCAAATATTTTCAGTTATGAGTCAGCTTCTTAATGGATTCATTGTGTGTACCAACATCATAAACAAAAAAAACAACTGAAATTTCCTTATCAAGAACTTAGTCATGAAGGGGTTTGCATGGCGGATGCTTTTGATTTGTGATTGCAGCGGAAAACGAGCCGCTTGGCTGCATGGAATGGATTGTCACTCTGCTCTCATTGCTGGTCTTTATTATCACGTGCCCCATTTCCGTATTCATATGCATTAAGGTCGTGGCCGAGTACGAGCGTGCCATTATCTTTCGGTTGGGCCGCCTGAGTGGCGGTCCTCGTGGTCCGGGCATGTTCTTCATATTGCCGTGCATCGATCAGTATCAGAAGGTGGATCTGCGCACGGTGACATTCAATGTGCCGCAGCAGGAGATGCTAACGAAGGACTCGGTGACGGTGACTGTCGACGCGGTTGTCTACTATCGCATTTGTGATCCATTGTATGCGATCGTGCGCGTCGAGGACTACAGCACATCGACGCGCCTCCTGGCTGCCACCACGCTGCGCAATATTGTGGGCACCCGTAATCTCACCGAGCTGCTGACCGAGCGCGAGACTCTGGCACACAATATGCAGTTGACCCTGGACGATGCCACCGAACCCTGGGGCGTAATGGTTGAGCGGGTCGAAATGTAAGATATGTATGGATTAATGCAACAGACATTGAGCTGATCGATCTTGCTGATTCCTTGCAGCAAGGATGTGTCGCTGCCCACGTCCATGCAGCGTGCAATGGCCGCCGAAGCGGAAGCCTCACGCGATGCCCGCGCCAAGGTGATTGCAGCCGAAGGCGAAAAGAAGTCAGCAACTGCCCTCAAGGAAGCCTCCGATATCATATCCTCCAGTCCATCTGCCTTACAGGTGAGTCGCTCCTTCATTGATTACCATCTGATTATCATAGCTTTCGTTTGTGTATTAACCACAGCTTCGGTATCTGCAAACGCTGAGCAGCATTTCGGCGGAGAAGAACTCGACGATTGTATTCCCCTTGCCCATGGAGCTCCTGACTCCGTATCTGGCCAAGTATATGCCAACGATGCAACTGCCACCAAAGCCGCAGCTGCCGTCAGATCTGCTGAAGGAACAACAAGCCTCGTATCCTCAGACAATCCTCTAAGCTACACAATCTACGCAATTGTATATAGCTATATTATCTGTATTCATCTATCTGCATGCAGCTCAAATGTGTGCATACACGAATATATAATTATACAGTAACACAATTTGTGATAGATTATCTACATATTTGCCCAGCTGTGGCTTTCGCTGGTTTTTTCCATGAGCTTTAAGTAAAAGCCAGCATTCGGGAATTTCTAAAATTACTCGAATGTATATAATTATATTTAACAAGAGTTCTCCAGATGAGAGTGTCCGACTAGCAGATACCCTGATACCTGATACCCTGGGAGATGCTCTCGTGATTTTCTGGGCATAAATATAGCATCCAAGTGTGTGTGTATGCGAAAGCCTAAGCCTACCTTCAAAACTGTTTTTTTTTTCTCTCAATTGGCGTTTTTTTTTTTCAATTCTATTAATGGAATTTCATTTTATTTATTTATTTGTCTGATATTTTTATACCCTTGCAGAGGGTATTATAATTTTGTGGTGAAATGTGTAACGCATAGAAGGAGACATCTCCGACCCCATAAAGTATATATATTCCTGATCAGTATCAACAGCCGAGTCGATATAGCCATGTCCGTCTGTCCGTATGTCTGTTTCTATGCGAACAAGTCTCTCAGTTTTAAAGCTATCTTTATGAAACTTTGCAGAAGTGCCTCTTTCTGTTGCATGCAGAACATATGTCGGATCGGACCACTATATCATGTAGCTGCCGTAGAAAAGATCGGTCGAAAAGTAGGTTCTTGTAGGAAAAACTTATTTTTTATTCAGATATCTTGAACAAACTAGCCATTTATTAGGTTTACTATGCTCCTCGCATATATGCAAGATCCTATTAGGATCGGACTACTATATCAAATAGCTGCCATAGGAACGATCGATCGAAAATTAAGTTGTGGTATGGAAAACTTCATTATTTTTCAAAATATCTAAAACATACTCGGCATTTACTTCTTAGATACGGGCAAAGCACTATGAGCATTATGAAAAGGTTGGGTTTGCAAGTGTATTAAATCTTCGGCGTGCCGAAGATAGCCCTTCTTTCTCGTTTATTTTAGTTTTTCCCCTACAAATCAAAGTATAATATTAAGCTCTGACGCGATAGCAAGTAGTTTGTTTAGTTGATTTTGCCAGGTTAAAACATTGATGGGGAGTTCAGTTTTCAAAAATTATTTTATTTAAGCTGGTTGTATCCCTTTACTCATTTAATTTGTAAGTTTAGTTAGACAAAAACATTTTCATCGAACCGATTCAACATGTAGACTTACCGAAGCGTGAAGTAATAAGTGAAATAAGCGACGATGACTACGAATTAATTTTATATACCCTGAACCCATTTAAATGGGTAAAAGGGTTATAATGTATTTGTGTAAATGTATGTAACAGGCAGAAGGAAGCAGCTCCGACCCCATAAAGTATTTATATGCTTGATCAGCATCAATAGCCGAGTCGATTTAGCCATGCCCGTCTGTCTGTCCGCCCGTCCGTCCGTCCGTATCTATGAACGCAAGGATCTCAGAACCTACACGAGCTACAGACTTGAACCTAGGTCCTCTTAATGCCCGCACAGTACGAGTATGTTTCCGATAGTCCCCGTTTCCAAGTGATCGATAAAAATCGATATCGAAATCGTGTTTTTTGAGAAAAACTCGTAAATTTTAAGAGCTAGAGTCACCAAACTTGACATTTAGCTTCTAGAATAGTATATATCATATATTCATTTTCAAAGACTTTTGTGGGAAGTTGATAAGTCTTTCATATTCTTCGCAAAATCCAATCCCCTTGAATGGAGCATGCAAAGGTCAAAGGTTGTATGAACAAAAGAGACTTAAATGTGTGTAAATTGCGGATTTCACGTCTTGATTCTCAATTCGATGGACTTGAAACCCGCTTACAAATATCTAGACGGGGAGTTGTAGATAGAAATTGTGGCAATCGGCGTTAAAAATAGCTTATTAAATCCGAGTAACCTAATTTCCGATCGGCTTTATCTCTATGTTATGCATGATATAAAATAATTCATATAACATGTGTATTGTGTATTGAGCCCACTAACAAAAACTATATATCGACCAACTGGTTTGGAGCATGGCTTAAACCTCGACAACAAGCCAAACTGTCCATTTTTCGAACTATAGTTCATCATAATATACCCAGCAATAGAGAGATATGAGTATGTCGAGTATGAGATATAAAGTATGAGTAGGATGAGTATATGTATATACATAGGTAGATTGGGTTTTTTTTTTGGCCAAGTGGGAATTCGTTTACTTTGAAAAATCTAATAGATTCTACTAATTTATTGTTCGAATTATAGATATTTCTAGTTCAAGTGAGCTCTTTTTGACATTCTCAAATAAAATAGAAATTGCTGATAAAAACACAATTTAGCAAATAGCATTAATCAGTCCTTGATTATCTGCAAATAGTTCGGGCACATACAGAACAAAATGGGAAAATGCTTGAATAATAAAACGTTGAAAGTGAAAACAACAAACGGAGCAAGCAATCGTATTTCATATTAATAATAACTACCTTGTTTATGGGGATAGCACATCTAATTCTTATACCCTGTACCCAATGAAAATGGGTGAAAAGGGTATTATGTTTTTGTGCCAACGAATGTAACTGACAAATGGAAGCATCTCCCATAAAGTATATATATGTATTCTTGATCAGGAAGAACAGACGATTCGATGTAGTCATGTCTGCCTTTTGTCTCTCTGTGTGAAAACGACCTTCACGGGAACTACAAGCTTTAGAAATTTTAAATATATATTCTACAAATATAAGAGCTAGATAGGAAAACTTGGTGTGTAAGTTCTCGAATAGCTATCTATATATAGATTACGCTTGTTCTACTTATAGGGTACCTCCTCCCATTCCCACGAAGATTATAAAAATATGCCATATTCAATATTTGAATAACACATAAACACCGAACTTAATTAAGGATGCATTTCCCATGCAGAGTGTGGGGCAAAGGGAAGAAGAAGCACAGCTTAACGCTCGGTTGAGGGTATCTTCCAGCCGGTCACACCCCACTAGAGCCCTCCTGCTTGTTATCAAGGCTCCTGCAGCCAGGTGTTAGAACGGTTTTCTAACAACTTTGGAAACAATAATCAAATCACAAATGCATATAATTCGATTAGGCGGCAACCTCTCGCGTGCGGGTCAGCACATGCACACGGTTTTCCGTATATAAATGTGGCGCCACATGGGGCAGCTCGAACATTTGCAGCATGTTGCCGTGGTGGACGTGTCTGGTTCTAGTTGCCAGCTACGGGTTTGTTTTGGGAGTGAACAACGCTGGGGATTGGCCTGGCAACTGTGTGAGTGCTCGTTTGATTGAGCGACATCGCTTGAACGAACCGCTTTATGGGAACTGCACTGAGAGACGCTTCAAGCGGCGTGTGGATGCCACGTTCCGTGGCAAACCGAAGCCACGCGCCGAACTTTTGGCCAGCAAATTTCTAACGTCACACAATTTCGATCAAACAAACTCACTGGTAACGCTGGTCAACAAAATAGCCAAGGAGTATTTGGCCAAGTGCCCACCGGTCATCTACTACGACAGGATGGTGGCCAAATCCAAGGGCCAACTATTGGAGACTCTCCTCAAGGTGTGTCTGTACTGACATTGAATGTGGATACACTAGAGTGTTATTTATTCCATTTCATAGACTATACCAGTTACATTTTATCATGGCGAGATCAATGAGCGCTACGAGCCACGGAATCCCAACTTCACCAGACATATTGATAACAACTGCAAGAGCTATATCCTATTCCTATCCGAACCATTGATGGCACGCAAAATTTTGGGTCCCCAAACAGAGAGCCGCGTCGTCCTGGTCTCCAGCTCATCACAGTGGAAGTTGCGCGATTTCTTGAGCTCCGACCTGTCGTCGAATCTTGTCAATCTCTTGGTCATTGGTGAATCTTTGATGGAAATTTCAGAGGGCGTGAGTACTAACTTTGAAAACTACTTAGCATAAATACAGGGTGCCCTTTAGTTGTTCACAGTTCATAATAGAAATTATTCAGTAGCATGAACTATAAAACCATCCGAGCAAAAGCTGGCATATGAATTTAGAGACAATCCTTTTATAATTCGGAGTTGATTTCCAAAGATTAAATATTAGATACATTTCTGTAAGTATTGTAGTTGACTTAAACACTGAATGGGAATTCTCAGAAAACCAAATAAAAATTGCTTGCTGAAGTGGGAATCCCTATGAAAATAATTTCTTATTTTCTTTAAGTTAGTTAAATATGATTTTTGTTTGTTTTATTATATCACGTTTAGACAGGGCATTGGGAGATTCCGTGCCTTTTAACTATGCGCTCGGGTTTCACACTTTTCGCAAAATTCACCCTTACTTGGTGAAAAGCGACGATTAGGTTGGGCAAGTTTCTGGCTCAACTTCCACACTTTTCGGAAAATCCGACCGCCTGTGTCAAATGTGAAAGGGGGTAAAGATTGCGTGAGCGAAGTTTTTAGCTTCGCCCGATAAAAACATATTGTTACTTTAGATATATAATTTGTTATCATAAGAATTTGATTAATTTAAGAAATTCTATTACAGGAGCGGCCCTTTGTGCTATACACGCATAAACTGTATGCGGATGGCTTGGGCTCGAATACTGGAATAGTGTTGACCAGCTGGATCAGAGGCGCCCTGTCGCGACCGCACATCAATCTGTTTCCGGCTAAATTTCAAAATGGTTTTGCCGGACACCGTTTTCAGGTATCGGCCGCAGATCAGCCGCCGTACATCTTTCGGATCAGTCTCTGGACTCCTCGGGCATGGGTACATTGCGTTGGGATGGCATTGAGATACGTCTGTTGAATATAATAGCCAAGCGTTTGAATTTCACCGTGGAAGTTACAGAGACGCCCAATCTCCTGAATTCGCGCAGCATCGTGGAGAACATTCAATTCCAGATCGCCGAGGGCGGAGTTGACATTGGCATGTCCGGCATTTACATAACGGAGGAGCGAATGCGTGCCACGGACATGTCGGTGGGGCATTCGCGGGACTGTGCGGCATTCATAACACTGGCATCCAAGGCCTTGCCCAAGTATCGTGCCATAATGGGGCCCTTTCAGTGGCCCGTGTGGGTGGCACTGATCTGCGTTTATTTGGGTGGCATATTTCCCATTGTGTTTACAGATCGCCTGACATTGAGGCATCTGATGGGTAACTGGGGCGAAATTGAGAATATGTTCTGGTACGTTTTCGGCATGTTCACGAACGCCTTCACATTTACCGGCAAATATTCGTGGGGCAATACGGAGAAGACCTCCACGCGTCTTTTGATCGGCTCCTATTGGCTCTTCACCATCATTATAACATCCTGTTACACCGGCTCCATTATAGCATTTGTCACATTGCCAGCCTTCCCGGACACCGTTGACTCCGTCTTGGACTTGCTTGGCCTCTTCTTTCGTGTATGCACGCTGGGTACGTATCCATCTGGCTGGCGTCCTTTGGTTTCTCAACTGTAATGCCGTCAAACCAACTCTCAGATAATGGTGGCTGGGAGAATTGGTTTCAGAACTCCACACATGAGCCCACGGCGAAGCTATACAAGAAAATGGAGTTTGTTGGCTCCCTGGAGGAAGGTATTGGCAATGTCACGCAGAGTTTTTTCTGGAATTATGCTTTTCTCGGGTCAAGGTCGCGTCTGGAATACCTCGTCCAATCCAACTATTCTACTGAGTAAGCGGAGGCTTTTCATACAATGAACCCGTTGAGATTGGGTAAAAATAGGACAAAATGGTTACGTTAACATGTATTTAAATGCAGAAGGAGTCTTCTCCGACCCTATTAAGTATATATATATATATATACTTGATCAGCATCAGGCTAATTGATCTAGCCATGCCTGTCCGTCTGTCCGTCTGTCCCTTTGTCAATATGTATGAAAGCGCCGATCTCAAGGGAAATGAGAGTTAGAGTTGAACAAATTGGGATATAGCACTTTTCTTTGCTTTTTAGAGAGTTCTTCCTATTGCGATCTAGTCTTGGGCTTTGGTATTTATACACATTTAGCTGGCATATTTATGACCAGACCATTTCATGAAGATCGGGCTAAACGCAACGAAGATATTTAGGCACGTATCTCCCATAGTATGAGGCTCAGAGAAGAACCAAGTGACACCCTATAGCTATCTTACTTTTTATAGTTACCTTTTGAGACAGTTTCGAAGTTGAGTGCGATGTAGTTATTTATTTTAAAAAGTTTATTAAAGTTTATTAAAGTCGGCGCTGGCGAAATTTAGAAAAAGATTTTGAAAAACCTTTTTATGGACCCAACATCAGCACATATTTATTAAACTTTCATGGTTGCATTCTTTCACAAGTTTACTAATGATTAACAAATTTGGAACTTGTCAAATATATTTCGCTAATAAGCGCTGGACTAGAGAGGAACATAAACTATGCATAAATTATAACTTCCCCACTTTTCGCCAGGAATCTCTCCCGACGTTCGGCACTGCATCTGAGCGAGGAATGCTTTGCACTCTTTCAAATTGGCTTCCTTTTTCCACTGAATGCTGTGTACAAACGCAAGATTGACTCGATGATTATGACCGCCCAGGAGAGCGGACTGATGATCAAGCTGGGCCACGAGGTCAGCTGGGACATGCAACGTTCATCGACGGGCCGCTTGCTGCAGGCCAGCGCCAGCTCGGCGCTGCGTGAAATCATACAGGAGGAGCGCCAGTTGACCACCGCCGACACGGAGGGCATGTTCCTGCTGATGGGCATTGGCTATTTTATGGGCGCCGTTGCGCTTGTCTCTGAGATTGTTGGCGGCATCACAAACAAGTGCCGCCAGATTATAAATCGTACGCGCAAGTCAGCCTCCAGCACCTGGTCGTCCAGGCACAATTCGGCCGTGGTGCGCACCTCAGCCGAGCAGCAGGTGCACGATGCCCGCAAGGCGGCGCGTCGCCATGCTGCTGAGGATGCGAATCAGCGCATGGGATTCGGCTTGCGGGAGTTAAATCTGACACGTACCACGCTGCGCGAGCTATACAGCTCGAATCGACCGGACGCCCAGACGCAGCTGGAGTCCGACTCGCGCCCATCGGAATTACATGCTGTTGCTTGGAATACACTGGATGAAGTGCCCCAAGAAGTCTATGAATCTTTGGACGGCCTGGATGAGTTCATAGCCCGGCTGGAGTTGGCCGATGAGCACAGCAACGAATCTAACGAGGATGACGTCGCCGATGTCGTCTTTGGCATCGAAATCGATGAACAACAAGATGATATTCACATCAATTAAACAAGTTCTCTAAATTATCAACTTACATTTTCTCATTTGTAGTTCTTAAATGCATAATAATTGAATATGCCCAGGAAAAGTTATAGTCCACAAAAAATAAATAAATAATCTCAACTGTCAATAATAGAAAAATAGCTGCATTTCTTGTTTTAATCGTTGTTTATTACTTTCGTAAGGTTCCTCCATAAATCTTTTGATTGACAGACAAGTAAAATGTTAACTTAAGTTATAGTTTTTTGCAATAACAATTTAATACAAAAAAGTATTAATAAAAACATACCTCTGCAATAGAATAGTTTGTATAAGATTCTAAAAAAGACTTTGCACTAATTTGTTCTTCATCGTTGCAGTTGAGACAATCATATCCATAAGGCAGTAATTCTCATATGGAGATATCGTTTTTGACAAAATCCGTGTTAAAACCTTGGTTAAAAAAAACTGGTTTTTATTTAAATTGTTATTTCGGCAATAGCCCCTCTTCTAAAGATAGACTAGCTTGCCCACAGTCTTGGATCAATATCTAATATTTTTTTACCCATGGAAACTAAATTGAATATCATAAACTAAAGTTGGGTACTAGATCGGAAAGCTAGAACAAATGTTCGTGTAGTTCTGGTCTACCGTCGACTTAGATGTATGGTTAGTAGTACTATAAAGAGTATTTGAGATCAGCAACACTCTAGTCTAACCACTACAATAGAAGAAATCGAGGCGTTTAAAGTATAAACTACATATACACAGACGATCAATTACACATAATAGGCTCGAAAAGGACTCGAGCCACTTATATTCACTTTCCTACTTTTGTAGTTTCCATAAATACTATTCTCGATTTATTAACAACAAATAAAAATGCACGTTTTATAATTTTCATGAGATTTCTTTTCACATATGTATATTTTCGATCAGTTTGCTGGCTTACACCCTAAGAATATGCTCTTGCTTCGTATTTGATTCATCAAACGAAACTTTATAAAGTATAATTAAAAGTCTCTCTCAACTATGAGGGGGAGAGAGCGAGAGAGAGACAGACACAGGGAATAACAATAATACTCATGTAAGATTTAATATTAAAAAAAAAAAGAGCAGTGAGCCTAAAATTAAAGCTAAGCTTAATGAATGTACAAATTACAGAATGTTTTTAAATAGAGCTCTATCAAAGAATACATGCATGCGAATATGTTAGAGACATAGAAACAGAGATAGAAAGATAAAGAAAGAGAGAGAGAGAGAGAGAGAGAGGGAACTCGGTTCATTTAGACGCCTCTATTTGGCAAGTCCTTCACTTTGTAGATGCGCACCAGCCAGTGCTCGGTTGTATATGCCTCCTCAAGCACATCGAGCTCAAAGTCCTTGTTGCCAATTTCGGCGGCACGCACGCGATCATAGCCCTGCGCTTTGCCGCCCTCCGTATACATTTGCCCAAATCGATAATAGCACATCTTGTACATGAGACAATTGAGCAGCGTGGGGGAACCCTCTTTATCTACACGAAACTCTCCATTTGCCGCATAGTAGTCCTTCTCTTTGATGTGCGCACCGCGATCTGTGCTGCCGCCAATGCGCACCATCCACAGGAACTTGTTAATATCGTCTGACGAGTAACCCGTCAAACCACCAAAAATAACTAGTACATAGTCAACGTCCAGTTCACGCATTATTTCATATGCCTTCTCCTCAGACGAGGCCATTGCCTGGCCCACACGAGAAATATGCGTATTGTTCCAGGTATTGTTGTCGACAAGTATCGTGCGATTGGCCATGGCTGTTATTTGATAGCCGTAATCCCACCAGGACATGATGCGCGCATTCTGTAAACAGAAAGCAATTTGAATTAATTTGAACATAGTTTGAATATCCAGTAATTGATTTGCAGATGCGCATTTTCAGCAAAATTTTGTTAGTACTCATTATGTTTCATACTCTTCCTATCAAGAATATACAAATTGTATTCATCACCAGTGCGAAATAAAGACACAACGATATATCCATCTCTCTTCCTCTTTTGTCAACTCACCTCAGGCGTATTCATTTGTAGCCAGTAATAGGCTTCGCGAAAGTCATCAAAGATGATGCGCCCACCATCGTGGGAGCGCGCGCTAAGCACAATGCTCGGCGAGGAGTAGGCCTCAGAAGTGACCCAGGTACAGTGAAGCGTATAAACGATAAGCATCAGTGTTATAATGGATACAAAACCAATGGCCACCTCGCTCTTGACCCCACCACTTTGCTGTTCCAGTTTCTTGTGCTGCCGTTTGCTCTCCGTTGCGGGCTTGGAGCTGCCCGTGTCCACACACTTGATATACTTGGCCAACAGATGCGAAATGGCTATGCCAGAAAGAACACACATCACAGGCGCCAAGACAAGCATTAGACGCACCATGACGCCGGCAAAGTAAATGCTAGTCACGCCATACAATATGATGAATATGTTGGCATCTGTCAGGCGCGAGAAACAGAAGTAGAGGCCAGCGGGAAACAGAAAAACGAGAATCTGAAATTGCAAACATACAAAAATCAAGGGATGCTTTGAAATTCAAAATATTGTAAATTAACTTGTTTCAGCGATCAAAGTGCTTGTAATCAATGGTTGCTTTAAGGCGCAAGTCATTCACATCGTATTTGGCGTCATCATCAAATCAGATGCCTTGCAATTTTTGATAAAACGGCTTACCTGTAGATCAAAGTAGAATGATGACCAAGATGTGGGCTGATGCTCCGACACAGAGGCAATGATTGGAATGTGATTCTTTGCATAAGATGGATCCAGCAGCGAGTAGAAGCGGCCCGTCCAAGGTGATACCTTGCCAGTTAGTGTTAGCAGCGTTCCCACAATCAACACCAGGCTAATTATACTCGACACCAGCGTCTTGAAGAGCAGGTCGAAGTGGTCCTTTGGCATACGCGAGCGCAGATAGTCTACAAAGGCGTGTATCTGGCAGAGACCAAAAACTCCCAGTGCCTGTAAAAGAACAAAAAAAGGGAGAGATGAGGAATTAATATTGACATTTTCAATAATTAATTAATAATTTACAAAATATGCTACATCAGTTTTTTTTAATAGTACTCATTATGTTTCATACTCTTCCTATCAAGAATTACAAAAGTAATCATCATTTTGCAACACAAATTATAATAAACAACAAATGTTATGTGACATACCAGCATGTGCTCGGAGCTCTGGATGGGCTGGAAGCCGACAAACGATATCTGCATGGAGAGAATGGTGCCAACGCAATATAGAGTGCTATATGCTATATAAATACGGTGCGAGAAGCGGCCAGTAAACATTAGTGCCAGCACGTGCAGCGGTATCAAATTGATGAGAAAGACATAACCTCCCCACGAGGACACCATGTAGAAATAGGCAAGCGCCGACATTGCCGACCAGAATATGGTGCCCGTTTTGACTGCCTTAATCCATAGATAGTAGGTAAAGAGCATGCAAAATATGGCGATGCCTTCATTGTCATAGGAACCAGCCACCGAGCGTGATATATATCCCGGCACGATGGATATGAGCGCTGCAGCTACCAAGCCGGCGCCAGTGCTCTGCAAATAACAACAATATTTTATGTCAGACCCACGTGCACGTGTTCGTTTTTAACCTAAATGTCACTCACGTGTATTTCCTTGGTCAAAGCATAAGTGACGAGCGTGGTAAGCGAGGAGAAGAATGGTGCTAGAAATACGCACACATTACGTATATCGATGGTTATGTTCAGCATCCACATTAGCCTGTACAAGGCCGCCGATGTAACCATCAATCCTGGGTAGATGGTTCCGCCGATGATGCGACCAAGTGGATACCAGGCTCGATCATCAAACCAATTGTGGAATTTGTAAAAGCCCTGTTCGGCCAGGAACCGCGTGGTGCGGTAGTTAAAATATGGATCGAACTCATGGATCACACTTTCAAAACGCAGCACAGAAAACAAACGTGTAGCGAACGCTGCAAGACGCAGAAAAGTGAAGGCATTAAGTTGGTTGCACCCAATTATTATCGTACCTACAAAACTTCGCTCCGATATTTCGATTACAAATTTCTTCTTCTAGGGAGTGTTGACCAGCTCGAAATGAGTTTCTATCGATATTTGTGAATTCACGCCCACACACACATACATATACATCTACTACATATTTACTTGTGTCCCCGCCCCCGCAAATTGAATTTGTACATATTGCTGTGCAACCCACGCAAAATACTCACATAAAACGGCGGCTAAAATAAGTATCGCTAGCTTAACGAGATGCTCTTGTTTTTCCCAGGTTAGGAGACCCCGTGCTTTCGTCGCTCCTCCGCTGCTTCCATTGCTAGTATCCACGGTCATGGCCGGTGTATTGGTTTCTGTCTCGGCTTTCTGCTGCTACCAAGAAATGCCGGTGCGGCTTTTGCTCGATGCTGATTACTGGGTTGTCTGGGTAAAACTACATGCAATTCCACACACGGGTTTGCACAATAACCACACACCAATTCTGCACATTACCTGCGCTATATTTGCTGCGCAGAACGAGTTTAAAAACAAACAAAATGTATGAACCTAAACGCGGTGAAGCTTCGTGGCAGCCTAATGAAAATTCGCTAGACGCCCGAGATTTGTGCAATGTTATCGATGAGTCCGTTTTTGTGTCGAGTTATCGATAAGTAATTTGTTACTCGAAGCGACACGACTGACACGAAATTTGAATTCGCCAATCAAGCGCGAATCAGCTTTTAATTCCTGGTTTCACTTTTAAAATAACAATATAAATACATATATAATATTCTGCATATTTATGTTTCACCAATTTTTCGTTACGGATGCATCAGTAGAAAGCTTGCTAGCCCAAAAGTTGACCGGCTTACGTTTATTTGTAAACAGTTGGATAGGATTGACGCATATATTCAGCAAAAATGAGAAAAACGGGAAAAATATGTACATATACTTTTTATAAGTAAGCATTTGTAATTATTTTTATAATAAGCAACTGTTGTATAAAATTTGCATATAAAATCCTGAAGGAACGCACGGATATGCACATGATTATTGATTCCTCTCAAGATCTAGATGAACCTGCTGAAATCTCAAATCTATCAACAAACACCCTGCTACTGGTCTTTGGCCACATCCAGGTCAACAACAAGGGCGCAGTATTATCCGATGGTACCTGCCATTTTAGGCGTTGAGCAGGAGTTTGCCGGTTCTAGCATGACGGCATTGCAAGATCTGGTGATATGGAACAAAAATTGGAATATTTAAAAAAACGCGACTAAGTCAAGAAGAGTGTTACACCCTCTATGAAGAGGGAGTCACCAGTTTGGCCAGAATGTCCTCATCACTGACAATTTTCACGCCCTTCCGTGTCAAGGCCAAGCACTCGAAATACTTGATCGCCTATGGCTCTTTGGCCAGCTTCTTGCCCCGCGCCGTTTTCATGGACTTCTGCTAGTTCTTGGCTTATAGATTTAATGTGCCTGGCTCGTCGCGCAAATCGATTTGTGTGCCCACCAGCAGGGACGGTGTATTCTGACAACGCTGCATTACGTCGGGCACCCACTTTTGTTTGACATTCTTAAAGGAACTAGGACTGACAACCGAGAGATAGACAAGGAACACATCCGTTAGCGGAAAGGACAATGGAGCAGTTTTTCGTAATCCTCCTGTCCGGCTAAATGAAAGATACCAAGCCAATAGGGCTCGCCAACCATTATGACCGTCATCGTATAATTGTCGAATACAATTGTATCCCAATGAAATTGCGATATCAGCATGCAATTTTTTTATTCGTTCTCTCCAATTATGTACTTGCTGTAATCCAATGACTCGGTTTCGAACATGCAGGGCCCTTTGTTCATGCAGTGCTGATTGCTAGTGCTGTGTTGCTGGCACATTAATATCGCCCTACCAGCATCGACTACCGTTTGAAATGATTCTCGCTTCTGATTCATGCAGGAGCGTTTGTTTACATACATATAACATAAGTGCATACATATTAACAATTTAAAAAGTGCGCTGCTCCATTGTGTTATCATACAGTTTTGGCTGCATTGAAAACGATCAGCTGTTGTGATGTGCGCTGTTCAGTTTCGATAGCATTTTGCTGCTGCGATAACAAAGTCGTCGCTCACGATTGAGTTAAGATGGTCGCTTTCATTCTGCCTGCACATGTCGTCACAATTTTAAGACTTAACAATTAATATTAAAAGCACAAATCCAATTGATTTTTCAATCATTTAATTTAAAATTTTGTTTGTTGAAATCGATCATTTGTGTTTGTCTTTAATTGATCTAAAAATGAACTCTATGTATGCAAAGTTCTACACGATTTGAGTAGTTTGTCTTTTATATTTTAATCAATGTGCACATTCTTATGCTGGTGGAAAATAATTCTTAAGATTTGTATTCTTTCTTTCCAAATAAAACCACCTAGTTTTCCTCCCGCTTCGCGTGCACTCGAAACTATAAAGCTGTGACGTCACAGGAGCTCAATTTTACTCTCTTGCTTCAACGCCGACAAGGGGCCTGCGCAATGCATACCTCCTATTCATTAAACCGCGGTCGTCTGGTCGTCGCTGTCGTTGCTCTCGCGCGGACGTCGTCGCTGCTCTGCCGACTTATTGTTATTGTTTTTACTTTAAAGTGCTAGTGTTTTTTTTTATTTGGCAGCTGAAGACACGCATTTGCTCCAACTGGTAAATTTAATTATAATTTGCAATTGACAACAAAGCGCGCTCACGTGTGTATGTGCGAGTGCGTTTTATGTTATAAACCGCAGAAATAGCTTTTTGCTATTGCCCAGCCACATACTAACTAGAAAATTCACGCAGCACACACATATAAACTAGTTAAAATGTCAAACTGTGTGTACATAACCTAAGCGAAGGGCAGCCGCCGCAGCAGCAGCATCATCAGCAGTTAACAGCAATGTTGTGCTTCTGATATGTGTAATCTTTTGTTGTTATTTTTTTAATTGTTTTTTTTTTTTTTTTGATTAACGCATATGCGTGTGAATCAGTGTATGAGTGTGCGTGTGCTTGTAGTCAATTGAAACTTGGTCGTGCTAAAAGTAAATTATAAATTAATAAATATCGCTCAAATATGTCAACTGTTATGCAGCGCAGGGACACCGCCTACAATTGAAGCAGCAACACGAAGTGCAACAACGACTCAATGTGGTAAGTAGCTAGAGGTATATATATATATATATGAGATGGGTGTGGGTACGGGGGTAGTCCCCACAGCAGCAGTGCATGGCCAAAATCAAACTGATTACGATATACACAAAAACATACACACACATACAGACAGAGGCATGCACATGCAGCTCATACAATTTTCAAGAATGGTGAAAAATCGAACATCAACGCGTGGCCAAGCGGGTGGTGCTGCGGTGGCGGCGGTGGTGGTGGCAGTTGCATGCACACGCACACGCGAATAGAAAAAAACACAGAGTGCTATAATATGTGCCATAGAAGAAGCAGCACCAACTTCACCGCTCAACGCACTCCCCGCTAGCCGTCACTCGCACCTCATTCCACACTGCACCACTCCTCGCATGTGCCCCACGCGAGCCAATTGCATTTGTTGTGCAGCCAATTGATGTGAAGTTGTTGTTGTTCTTCTTCTCGGTACGCGTGTGTGCTTTTGTGTGTATGTGTGCATAGTAACACACCAGGGCTGCAAGAAGCACACATAGACGCGACTGTTGTGTGAATGTAGCTGCATGTTGTGTCCCATCCCTAGCGGTTTGTTTTCGCAACGGCCATAAGTCACAAGGATTCAAAAGGATTAGGAGCTTACTTGTCTGAAATTCCGCTTGGTAAATATTATCGAAAAAATATGCCATATTTGCTTACTTTTCCCTTGGATAAAGCTACTATATATGTTTATGGACATACAAGGATACAAACAATTGATTTCCTCTTTATTTTTTCTCAAAAATGAGCTATTAAATTTGATTTGTTTTAACCAGTTTTATCAGTTTTAAGTGCGTTTTTTTTAATATTTTTGCCCGACACATAAGATTCTTAAGATCAGATAGAGAATTCTGTGATACAAATTTCAAGTAGGGAAACATATGTCAAGTAAGATATTACAAAGATCGAGGTATTAAAAAACGAAAAATATAAAAAGGTTTTATTCAAACATCGAATATTTTTATTGAACGCATTGTATTTTAACAATTTCCGTGGTCTGATACTAAAAGTTGCGCTATTCAAATGGAATTCATAATTCCTATTACACTCTCTCTCTCTCATTACATACATATTCAATTAATGAATAGAGTTACAGATAATTATTTAAACATAGCGCCATAGATCCATAAAATGTGTTTTTTTATTATCAGCATTTGTGAATACACATATATTAGTATATCATGAAGCCCTCGAGCATAAGCTGAGCTACTGTGTGGGTGTTCGCATTTACAAGCCGTTGCTGGCTTGTAGTAACTGCAAAAGTATGCATATATGTATATATATGTATATATATTTGTATATGTATCTGTATACGTTGTATGTATGTGTGGCTGGGAATGTCTACTAAAGCAAAGACCGGCTTTGTTGGTGCCTTGTGTGCAACTTGCTGATTGGAAAATTTGCATGGAATATTAAGCGAGATTTTTAATCTGAACTGAGCTCTCGATGCAAGGCAACAGCTACAACAAGTTTCATTGTGTAAACGCCTTAAGGCGTAGTCTCGAATATGCGTATAAAGCATATTTCATCAGATATGTTTAACTTCTGAATCGGTTAACCGACTAATTAATGGACCAGCAGCACTTGGAACATTTACAAGATCGCTTCTAGCTCCATATTTGTCGCTATAATTGTAATATGTAAAATGTACAAAATCGCTAATTATGTTTACATAAATAGCTTTAACAAGAGTACTATAGTCGGGAGTGCCCGACTCGAAGACAAGATTTCAGATTCTTTCCATACATATTTAAATAAAATTACACATATATCCCACACTATGGAAAATGCATTCCTAAGTAGCTTCGGAGCTTATTGTCCGATCTTTATGATCTTCTACTGCACGGCTTTTCTTCTGAAAACGATTTTTCTCAATTTCCAATCTTTAAAGACATTTTTACTACGTGTTCGTATTCGTTCTGCGTATGGTATACAAAAATACATATCTCAAATTTGGGCTTATAATTTTGTAGATTTCGAAATTGACGTGTTCACACAGACGATAATGGGTAAATCGACTCAGCTTGTCTTTCTGATCAAAAATATATATGTGTATATTTTTTAGTGTCGGAGTTGCTTCCATTTGCCTGTTACATACATTTGCACAAAACGAAATCTAAACAAATTTGTAAAAAATCATTTACTGACCTACTCTGTGCTTCTTTTCTTTAAAAAAATAATAAATAAATAACAAATAATTTATTTTCAGAATGCGTCCATCAATTGGACTTTTTGTTGAGAACCATAATAAAATGCGAACGTAATTTTGATAAAAACTTAATTATTATTTATATATAGTTGAAATATATAATTTGTACTGATTGCAGACAATTAAATAAAATCGCGTATCATTGCTATAATGATAAGATATAGCTAATGTGCATACACATGATTCTTACATCCTTCTTATTTTAATCACGGTAAACATCTGGAGATCCTAGAAATTCTTGATAAATCTTTCATGGCATTATTTTCTTATCCTTCCGCTATTTTCGATAGATGCATTATACTCTGTTTTGTTCTTTACTCATTAATACAAGAAAATGACTATCGGATTAAGTTTAAACACGCGTCCAGTTCTGAAGTTAGATCTTCACAGAGCATGGTCCTGTTGCTGCAGGCATATATATGTAGGGCTGGCAACTCTGCCAGATAGAGATATCGATGAGAGCCTGTACCGGCCGATAAAATGTTAAACGTCTGTTGTGTAACAGAAGGGATGGTAACAGGAGCAAATAGGCAGCAGAGTTGGGTTCGAACTCCCGAAGTGGACGGACGTGCGTTAACTATAAGAACGGAATTATAACATTGTACCAAGGTAACCAACTTTATCAAGAGAATAAAACCGAATGTATCCAGATATTAAACCAACAGAATATAGCGCGAATCCAGAAAACCTATCCCCATATATATATACATATATATATTGGAGTCGGTATATCAGACACGTGCCATGATCATGATCGGTAGAAAATTGAACTTACTCACAAATTATTAATTTTCGGATTACCCAATTGCTCCTATTGGAGCACTCGATCGAAATTGAGTGCCTAGGATCAGAACATTATATATATTGCACATAAGTTCTTCAAATGTCTGTAATCGTATTCAATTTTCGGCACCCTGTAGATGTTGTTCTATAAGTGTTGCATGTTGTTTTTGTCTCGTCCGTTATCACCAACACAGCTGACAACTGAAATAATCGTGTGATGGGTATTTACATACATATACTCGGCCTCTGTTGTTTTTATACCTATTGAAAATGGGTAAAAAGGGTATATTGGCTTTGTGCGAATGTATGTAACAGGTAGAAACATGGATTCTCCGATCCTATAAAGTATAAATTTTCTTGCCGGGTCGATCTAACCTTGTCCGTGTGTCGTCTTAGAGCCCATCAACACTAGAGACTTGATACTTTAATCGTAGTTCCTCCAATAGCTCGTACAGTATACGTTTTTTTTATTCATCAATAACTTACGCCATTTCCATAGCTCGTATGTTTGTGTATGGCAGAAAACTAGAATGTTAGTGAAGGCAGCTCGTCGATGGGCTCTAGTATCTTCTAGTCGGGCACTTCCGAGTAGATAACGCTTACATGTAATTACTAATAATGATGGAAAATATTTGCCTCTCACTGTTTGCTAATGATATTGCCAGCGCTGACTGATTTTAGCCGCAAAATGAGATAGCGAACGTTGTCAAAAATTTCAAGTTGTAGTTTTTGTTTATTGGCAGCGTCAACTTTCGCGGATTTTTATAGGGATTCGCCCATTAACGCTAGATCTCAACATTATTTTAACTATACTACATTAACAGTGTGCTTTTTACAGTTACTGTTAAAAGCAATCAGGGTTGCCACTTATTAGAAATGTTTTAAAAATTCGTCGAAAAAGTATGATATTTTACTAGTACTTGAAATAGTAAGGAAGAAAATGTAGAAAAGGCATGTCGCATCTAAATTCCATGTATAATTGGGCGAATTTAAGCCAGAATTGCTGGTGGATTTGAACCAGCGATCTTCCGCTTGTAAGTCTGACGCTCATACTTCTTATCCCCGCAGGTTCATGATGTCTCAGTTGCGAAGCATTGGCTGCGATCTTGTTAAAGTTTTTTCAACTTTGACCACCGTTTCCCCACATTGAAGGTTGCATTTTCTAAACCCTGTCTTCGTGCTGATATTCGATCCAAATGAATGCTTGAGTTCTTATTTCAGCTTCTGTGTTCTGTTGATCCCCAATCAGTCAGTCTGGCCATACCCTTTCATATGTAGCTAGGAATATCGTTTTAAAATTTTAATTTTCAGCCGCATTTTATTTCTAGTTTGTCATTTTTGTTTCTTGCTTCGGAAAGTACGCATATGGCATTTAAATATTTACCTATCTGCACAAAATATTATTCAAAATCACTGCAAATTTATAAAAGTTTATTGAAATCCCTTGCAATAGAATATTTCAAGTAATCATTTCTATGCAACTAATATTCAACAGTTCTGTTAAGACAAAATGTATATACTGTGTCCAGCAGCATGTGTTGGAACTCAACTGTATTAGCTTAATAGCTATTGCTCAGTAAAGGAACAGTTTATCAATATTTAAAATCAAAATGTCTGTGTAAAATTCAACAGTTCTGTTAAGCAAAAATGTTAATACTATAGCCACATGTTTGTTTTGGAACTTAACAGTATAAGTTTAATGACAATAAAATATTTCGAGTAATATTTCTATGTAACTAACCTTTCACATTTATGTTATGAATTCAAATGTTAAAACTGTTTACATCTGTATGTTTTAGAACTTAACAGTACCAGCTTTATAGTTATTGCCCAGTAAAATGCCAGCAATACAATCTTTCAAGTCAACATTTCTATGTAATTAACATTTAACAGTTCTGTTATGCATGCAAATGTTAAAGCAGTATACATCTGTATGTTTTGGAACTTAACAGTGTTAGTTTAATAGTTTTTGCTCAGTTCCACCTAA